CAAGCAAATTGGGTGCGGCGGTCCGAGCTCCAGGGCCCTCCCTGAGTAACCAGCACTTGGGGCGCGGCGCCCGGTTGGGTCGCCCATAGGGCCAGGCCATGAGTCATGCTGTGATCTTGGTTGACTGGCCAAAGTCTCAACTGGCAACAACGTAGTGTCTGTCGCCTTGGCTCATGGAACCATGGATTGCTGTTGAGGGGACGGGAAAGGAAGTCCTCAACATGTGTGCGCTTGCTGGACACCTGCTGGTCCACGGCACCGACTGCCAACTTGCAGCAAGGCCTTATACGATGCCCTCGGTTGTATGCTAATGCAAGTTCAATGTTATAAGCTTTCGCGGTCTCCCGGCCCACCGCCTCCAGCGCTCCCACTCCCGTGCAGCACACCGCACAAGCTGCCTCGCGTCCCGAACACCGTCCTCTTTCCGTTGCACGCCCCTCAGCCGTAGACACGTGCAGCCGGCAACCATGGGGTGAGCGAAGCCAGGGACCTCGCAGACTGCTGCACTGGCTGCCGGCTGCTGCGGCATGCCAGCGCCTGTTTAGCGGGCACAAAAAACCGGGACGAGTTTCTGCGGGAGAAGCACACTCGAACAGCATAGGCTGCCTCTGCTCTGCGACGCGGTGCTTCTCTTTCAGCGATCAGCTCACGGGCGCAGCTGTTGGCAGCAGTGCGGAGGTGTTAGACAGAACATTAGAATCCAGTTGCTGGCGCGCATCCCAGCGAAGACGTTCCCCAGCGCTTCGCAACAGCAGCGACGGCGGCGCCGACGTCGATCTGCTGCGCGCATTGGTGCATGAGGCAGTGGCACCGCACTGGCCTCGGCACACTTCGGTGCGTACCACCGCGGCTGACCGCTTTGCTGCACTCCTTTCATCCCATATGCAGTAAGACGCGTGGTATGGGTGCGGGGCGTAAGCTCCAGATCCACAGGCGCAACCAGCGGTGGGCGGACAAGGACTTCAAGAAGAGCCACTTGGGCAGCGAGTGGAAGAAGCCCTTCGCCGGCGCTTCCCACGCCAAGGGCATCGTGCTGGAGAAGATGTGAGCGCCCGGGGCGGGGGCCGGGGCGGGGGCCGGGGCGGCGCGAGGACCGTGTTTGGGAGGTCGAGTCGCTCCTGAGCGTCGAGGCGGCGGCATTGTTGTGTGTGAGCAGCCGTGGCGCCCTCCACGCTGCTGGCTGGTGCAGGCTACGCAGCTGGTTTGCAGATCCTGCGGTCAGGCAGTTGGTGCTGCGTTCGGGCGCTTTCTGTTGTGAAGCAGACATGCCTGCCTTCGCCGCTAACCCATGCGCCATCCCCCCCGCCCCGCAGCGGCATTGAGGCCAAGCAGCCCAACTCGGCCATCCGCAAGTGCGCGCGTGTGCAGCTGATCAAGAACGGCAAGAAGATTGCCGCCTTCGTGCCCATGGACGGCTGCCTCAACTTCATCGAGGAGAACGTGAGCAGCCAAGGCACACGCGCGCGGGCCGGCGGGCGGGCAGGGGGGACTGGTCAGCCAGTGCCAGAGCCGGCAGGACGGGGCTGTCGCTCACAGCCACCAGGGCTCAAGCGCACTACAAAAGGGTCTATGGAATGGCTCAGGAAGGCGAGGGCCGGGCGGCGCTGCAGCGGGCGGCCGCGGCATTGCAGTCGGTGATTAACCATCCTGCGGCTTTCTTGCGTGCTGCCGGGATGATGTCTTGCGCATCAGTAGCTCTGCACATGTGCGACTGCGGCCATGGCACCATTGGGATCAGTCGCTGCTGCTGCTCAGCTTTGGGCCCCTACGTGCGGCCCGCCCCCATCTCATCGCTCGCCTGTGCCGCACTGCCCGCCGCTCCCTCCCCCTGCCTGGCAGGATGAGGTGCTCATCGCCGGGTTCGGTCGCCGCGGCCACGCCGTCGGTGATATCCCCGGTGTGCGCTTCAAGGTGCGGCCGGCTCTGATTACCGAGGCGAGGGAGGGGGAGTCGCAGCTCGGGCAGGCGCGCCCCCCAGTGGTTGCAGCTACAAAAGCTGTAGGGAGCAGCAGGGCTCTGCTGCAGCCGCAGGAAGACAGCAGCGGCGGCGGCAGTGTCAGCAGCAGGGTGGCAGCGTCGGCTGTGGAGGAGTGCGGTGAGCGCCGCGCCAACGGCCAGGCTAACCCTTCCTCGGTGCCACCCTCGTATCGCACGCGCGCTCTGCGCGCGCCGCAGGTCGTCAAGGTGGCGGGTGTGTCGCTGCTGGCGCTGTTCAAGAGCAAGAAGGAGAAGCCGCGCTCGTAGGCAGAGGGCTGCAGCCCTCGGGGCGGCGGCGGCGGCAGCCCCGGCGCGGTGGCCAGGCTGTGAGCTCGCTGCTCGCCCCCGAAGGGCCCGCGTGTTTTGTAACCGGCGTCCCTCAGTTTGTCAGGCGGTACCCAGGCCCCTCCAGCTTGTGCGGGTGCTTGTCAGGTGGGTCAGTCATTGGTGAACATGACTGCTATGATGCTCGGGTTGCTGCATGCACCACAAGTGGGAAAGCAACGGAAGCGCTGGCCGCGCACCTGAACGAGGCTCCTGCTCAACACCAGTGCGACCAGTATGGTAACGGCTATTTGGGCAGAGCGTCATACATTAGAGCAGCAGAGGCGGCAGGATCCGCGCGGCCAGCGCGAGCGGCCGCGCGGCTCTGGCAGGCCTGTCATCATGAGCAGGTCTACATGAGCAGCATCACTGAGCAATGCACCATATGCATCAGTGTTGCACGGGTGCGATGGACTAGAATGTTTTGTGCCGACGGAGGCAGGTTGACCAAGCAAGTGGTGATGTGCAACTTGATCACGCAGACGGCTGGTATCGTAGCTGTCAGAAGCTGACTGCAGGTACAAATGAGCCAGGGGCACCCACGGCCCTGCTAGGCAAACCCTCACGGGTATTCAGCTGCGCCAGCTCGGAAAGAAAGTCGAGCAGCCACAAAAGCTGTATGTGGCGCTCGAACGCCTGCAGGGTCGTCCTCCCAGGCTGGGTCCAACACGAGTGTGAAGTGCAGGTCACGTACAGCTCCTGACAGCCGTTTCGTTGGCATACAGCCTGTTTCCCATAAGCAAATTCCTCTGGCATTCCTCGGGAACTTTGGGCCCCGAGGGAAATTTGCGTTTCCCAAACACCGGGATTCCCCCGGCAATCCTCGGGGATTTCCGGGGACCTCTAGGGGGTCCCCGGGATTCCTCGGGGGCTCGGGAGGCGTTTGAGTTTGTTATCTCTGCATACACGTGATCAATCGCACCCGCAGGCAGCACACATGACTGCACAATTCAAGCAAAGCTGTATGGGAGTGGGCGCGGGTCAAACGGTGCCCTTTCAACAAGCTGCGTCAGCTGGCCAGTCCACAAGCATATACACGCATATTATATATCACTATACCCGTTGTTGACCGCGAGGCGGCCAGGTCAGCACGGCAGCCCCGAAGGATCCCCGGGGGTGATGGGAAACGCGTGAAATTTTCTACAAAAAGCATTGTTGCCGAAGGGTTCCCGAGGGACTGATTTCAAGTCCCCGAGGGATTTTATGGGAAACAGGCTGATAGACACGCAGCGCATGATATCATATTTTTCCAAGCATCATAACACTGTCAATCTACAAAATGGCAACACATAAGACAGCAGTCAACCGCAAACTCAGATTCGATTGACCGAATTTGAGCATGATCTGGCATGCTCGATGTTGCCGAGCACAGTAATGAGCTCTAATTGGATGGGGACATGGTCGCGCTGAGCCGAGTGCGGCCGGAAGAAGAGCGTGCGAACCCTGACGCGACACGCAGCTTCGGGTGCTTGGTCGTGGACATCAACGTGTTGAAACGGATTCTTGGAGTGCCTCTCACCGGGTGAGCTCACGTGGAGCAGGCATCAACCGCCGCAACAGGCGGTACTGCGCATTTGGGGCGACATCACCTGCACTCGCAGAACTGCATTGATGCAGCCTCTGCGATAGTCTGCTGCCCTCAACACCGGGACACCTGAGATGCACGCACCGCCGCGCCTCTCCAGGCTTGATTCATCTGTATGCACAAGCTATTTTGCCGCGGCCACCTCGTACATCGGCCAGCAGAGCGTAAAGCAGGTGCGGCTCCAAGGGCGATTGCAAGCCTGACGAACCCACTGCCACGCAAATCACCATGATTGGTCGATGCTGCTCTTAGCATAGGGGGCTTCGCTGAGGCTCTTGTGGCCCCTGCCATCTCAATTGCACAAATGCAGTGCTGGGACGGACAGGCGGCGGCCCTTGGCAGACCGCCACGGCCAGCCCCCACGCCGCCCCCAGAGCGAGCGCCTCTCGACGCGGGCGGGTTCATCGGCCTGGTGTCGCAGCTGCTGCCTGGCCTGGCGGCTTGGGAGCTCTGGGACCTGTGGGGAGTGCTGGGTCGCAGCAGCTCCGACGGTCATGTGAGCGCTCTGACCTGTGTGGATGCGCTTGCGTTCGCCACATCGCCATGTGTAGCGGGGTCGGCAGCCGAGCGGGCACAGCCGATGTCATCCACATGCAGCAGTCCAGGTGTGGACGAGCAGACAGCAAGCTGCTGTATGGCAGGTATTGCAAGCCGCCGCGTCACCCTTCACTCTCCACCCCCGCAGGTCGGGCTACCCCAGTTGCTGCTTGTCGTTGCTCTCGTGGCTGCCGCGGCCTCCCAGCAGCAGCGCCACGCCCTATGTATGCTGCAGTCGCGCGTCCACCAGGCCTTCTGCCTTGGGGGCGCCCCTGTGCAGGGCGTGCGCTGCTGCGCGCAGCTGCTCGGGGTGCCGCCTGCGAGGGTGCATGGCGCAGCGGAGCGCCTGGGCATCAGGGGAAGCTACTGCCTACCTCAAGAGGTTAGTTTGAGTTCCTCAAACCACGGCCACTGTGGAGTGTGTGTGTGTGTGTGTGTGTGTGTGTGTGTGTGTGTGTGTGTGTGCGCGCGCGCGCGCACGCGTGCGTGCGTGCATGCGTGCACGCGTGCGCACGCGCGCGCCCGCGCTCGCGCAAGATAGCGCGTGTCCCCCTCGAAACGTAATTATTAGTTCATAGAAGGACGCCCTCACCCCCACATCCCAACCCTCCAGGAGGCAGTGCTGCTGTTGTTTGCAGCCTTGGGCGGTGACTCTGATGTTGAGGCGCACCAAATGCAGCAGTCCAATCCTCAGGTGCAGCAAGCCGAGCTACCCGTGTTGCCACTGGATCGTCTGCAGCAGGAGCTACAGCAGTCAATTCAGCCACCGCCGCTGCCTCTGCCCCCGCCGCATCAGCAGCAGCAGCAGCAGCAGCAGCAGCAGCAGCAGCAGCAGCAGCAGCAGCAGCAGCAGCAGCAGCCAGGTGATGGGCGTCCACCATCCCGTGATGGTGGCAGGCGGCTGGGCCTCCTTTGCTGCTGGGGCTGGTAGAAGTTCAGCGGCAAACCTACGTTGCGAGCGGTGTTCAGTTGGCTGGTGCTGGTCATGACACACTAGTCACCCGTCGGCCACGGCATGCGATGATTGAAACATGCACATGCCTGCACCGTGCAGCACCGGGCGACCTGAAATATTGCGTGCATGGCCTTGTTGCGATCGTGGTTTGGAGTTGCAGGGCGCTGCGACCATTTTGGCAAGCATCTTGAACCCCTGTACTAGTATCAGAAAATGTGAGAATCGCTGTTGTCCTTCAGGTCGAGGTTTAAGGAATTAACAGTGAATCCCCACGCCCTGCTGCCGTAAGGCAGCCTGTTTGCATCCCCAAAGCAGTGTATCTGATGCCACCAAATGCAACACCTTCATGATACGAATGGGGATTACTCTTCCAGGTCAAGGCAGGTGTAAAAAAAGTGCGCCAGAAGAGGCGCAAAAAAGGCGCAAGGGCTTAGCACATCACCAAATCTATGCACACAAACGCAAGGTCCTGCGTGCCGCAGGTGCATTGGCAGCCTGGACGCCGGCAGATATGCTGTCCAGCTTGCGCGCATTGATTGGAGGCCGTGCGCGCCGCCGTCCGCCGCCGCGCGCGGCCAATCGCCTTTGGCAGGGGAGTTGACCGCACCCAGGGCGGGCCGTTTGGATGCCGGGTCTCACATATAAGACCAGGCCAGGCCATAACCTCGCTCAAAACTCCGGAAAAATCTAAGCTACGGAATCAACAGAGACGCCGCTCCCGCTCCGACAAGCCGCGGGCTTGCGCGCCAATGCGCGCGCCCGTTCCGCAGCCGCAGGTTCGCGCGGCGCAAGCCCTCCAGCCCCCCTCCCCCAGACCCCACATGCAACGCCCGCGGCGCCCACGAGCCCAGCACGCGGGCCGGCCACAAGCCCACGCCGCCGCGGCAAGCGCGCCGCCGCCCCGCCGGGTCGGGCCGCCGGGGCAGGGCCCGCGAGCCGCCGCCGCCGCCGCTGCTGCAGGGGGCTCACGCCGCCGCAAGTCCCGCGGGCTCCTCACCGCTGCTGCAGAGGGCTCGCGCCGCCGCGAGCCGCCGCGCGCTCCTCACCGCTGCTGCAGGGGCCTCACGCCGCCGCGAGCGCGGCGGGCTTCTCCCCCTCAGCGATCTTTTTGAGCGTCTCGGGGCGCTTCCCGAGGTTGACGTCCTCCACGATGGCCTCGGTCACGAGCTTGCCGCTGAAGATGGCGCCCTCCATGGAAGCGAGGTAGCGCTGGAAGGTGTAGTCGCCCGCCAGGTAGAAGTTGCTGATGGGGCTGCGCTGGGTGGGCCTGGGGGCAGTTGGGGGGGCGG